CGTTTCCAGTTGTCCCACAATTCTCTTAAACTCTCTTCTTGTTTTTTAATCTTTTTTTTCTTTTGGTTTTCTGATTGGTTGATTTCTTCTAGCCTGTCTTCTAATTCACTGATCCGGTCCTCAGCTTCCCTTACTCTGCTTTTTAGACCTTCCAGTGTGTTTTTCATTTCTGATATGTCATTCCTCATTTCTTCCTGTTGGTTTTTCATTTCCAGATGGTTTATTTTCAACATTTCTATGTCTTTACTCATGTTGCTCATGTCCTTACACATGCTGTTGAGCTTCCGCAACATCATGGCTCTAAATTCTAGTTCTGTTAACTTGCTTAACTGCACCTCATTTATTTCATCTTCTGTAGAGGTCTCTTGATCTTTCATTTGGCTTTTGTTTCTGTTTCTCAACATTTTCGTTATCACAGTGGGCTTTGGAGTCTGTCAAATTTTCCCAGTGGGTGTTGGTGTTTTGCTGTTTGTGGCTCCCTCTCCTGGGTTTTGATGCTCCAGGGAGGACCCACTTTAATCCCGCCAAGTCCCCTGTTCTCCGGGAGTCTGTGTGGCTCCAGCCGAGAGTTTAGCAGGCAATAGCGTTACGAGGGCCCATGCAGGGTGGCAAGGGAGGCGGTGGGAATAATTTCCTGCTGAGTTCCCTGGTCCCGCGGAGTTCCCTGGTCCCACCGTGTTCCCTGGTCCAGCTGAGTTCCCTGGGGCCCTCGAGTCTGTGCGGCTCCAGTGGAGAGTTTAGCTGGCTACAGAGTTTCCAGGGCCCATGCAGGGTGGTAAGGGAGACAGTAGGATTAGCTTCCCACTGAGTTCCCCGGTCCCATTGAGTTCCCTGGGGGCCACGAGTCTGTGCAGCTTCAGTGGAGAATTTCGCTGGCTACAGAGTTTCCAGGGCCGTGCAGGGCGGGAAGGGAGGCGGTAGAATTAACTTTCCGCCGCGTTCCCCGGTCCCGCCGAGTTCCCTGGGGGCCAGGAGTCTGTGCGGCTTCAGCGGCTACAGAGTTTCCAGGGCCGTGCACGGCAGGGAGGGAGGCGGTAGAATTAACTTTCCGCCGCGTTCCCCAGTCCCACCGAGTTGCCTGGGGTCTGCGAGTCTGTGCCGCTTCAGCGGCTACAGAGTTTCCAGGGCCCTGCACGGCGGGGAGGAGGCGGTAGAATTAACTTTCAGCCGCGTTCCCCGGTCCCGCCGAGTTCCCTGGGGTCTGCGAGTCTGTGGCTTCAGCGGCTACAGAGTTTCCAGGGCCCTGCACGGCGGGGAGGGAGGCGGTAGAATTAACTTTCAGCTGCGTTCCCCGGTCCCGCGGAGTTCCCTGGGGTCTGCGAGTCTGTGGCTTCAGCGGCTACAGTTTCCAGGGCCGTGCATGGCAGGGAGGGAGGCGGTAGAATTAACTTTCAGCCGCGTTCCCCGGTCCCACCGAGTTGCCTGGGGTCTGCGAGTCTGTGCGGCTTCAGCGGCTACAGAGTTTCCAGGGCCGTGCAGGGCAGGGAGGGAGGCGGTAGAATTAATTTTCCGCCGCGTTCCCTGGTCCCGCCGAGTTCCCTGGGGGCCAGGAGTCTGTGTGGCTTCAGTGGCTACAGGGCCTTGCATGGCGGGAGGGGAGGCAGTAGAATTAACTTTCCGCCTAGTTCCCCGGTCCCTCTGAGTTCCCTGGTCCCGCCCAGTTCCCTGGGGGCCAGGAGTCTGTGCACCTTTAGTGGAGAGTCTAGCCGGCTACAGAGTTTCAAGGGCCATGCACGGTGGGAAGAAAGATGGTGAAATTAACTTCCCCTCTAGTTCCCTGGCCCCTGCCCAGGCCGCTGCAGACCCTGGGCTCTTGGTCCCCTCTCCTGTCCTCGCAAGCCTACCAGGACTGAGTGGGTGTTTCTGGTTAAGTGGTCCTCCAAGGTGTCCTTCGGCTGCCCTTTCCTGATGGTTTGCCTTTGTTTTCGTTGTAAATCCAGTTTGGTCTTGGGAGACGGTCTGGGTCCCTCCATTCACTTCGCCGTCATTTTTTCCTCCTCCTGTTTTATTCTTTATTTCGTAGCCCTACCAATATGACCCTTCACCCAGGCCCACTGTTCCAATGGGCACTGGCTTTGTAGACTTACACACTATGTCTGTGTCCAAAGTCATGACTGAATTCTCCTTCCTATTAATTTTCAATTCTCTACCTTATTTTCTGAGAATCTGGAAGTATTTTTATTTATTTGTTTGTTTGCGTCTGTATAAAGGTTCCCTGGCAGGAGAACATGAATATGATTTTAAAAACAACACTCTGACAATAGGCAATGCATAGGGGAAAAAACCCCCCCAAAACCAGTATTCAACAAAGAGCTGGGTTTTGTTTTGTTTTTTTAAAGACAAACAATATTGAAGGGCCTTAGCTAGATTCACCAAGAAACAAAGAAAGAGAACCCAAATATACAAAATCAGAAATGAAAGAGAGGTAACAACAGACACCACAGAAATACAAAGGATCGTTAACAAATACTATGAATAATTATATGGCAACGAATTCAACAATCTAAGTGAAATGGACACATTTCTGGAAACACATAGTTTCTCAAAACTGGACCAGGAAGAGACAGAAAACTTGAATAGACCAATAACAACTAAGGATATTGAAGAGGTAATCAAGACTAATCCAGCCAACAAAAGCCCAGGCCTGGATGGCTTCACAGGGGAGTTTTACTGAACATTCAAAGAATAACTAACACCCATTCTCCTCAAACTATTTCAAAACTTCAAGAAAGACTTCCAAACTCATTTTATGAGACCAGCATTATTCTAATTCCAAAACCAGAAAAAGACACTATAAAGAAAGAAAACTACAGGCCAATATCCCTGATGAACATAGACACCAAAATCCTTAACAAAATACTAGTAAATTTGATCCCGCAATACATCAAAAAAATTATTCACCATGACCAAGTGGGATTCATCCCAGGGATACAAGGCTAGTACAATGTTCGCAAATCAAAAAATGTGATACACCACATAAACAAAATGAAGGATTAAAAACCACATGATCATATCAATAGATGCTAAAAAAGTATTCAACAAAATCCAGCATCCATTTCTGATAAAAACGCTCAGCAATGTGGGAATAGAGGGATCATATCTCGACATAATAAAGGCCATATATGAAAGACCTACAGCCAACATCACACTCAATGGGCAAAAACTAAAAGCATTTCCCTTAACAACAGGAACAAGACAAGGATGCTCACTTTCACCACTCTTATTTAACATAGTACTGGAAGTCTTAGCCACAGCAATCAGACAGGAAGAAAAAATAAAAGGGATCCGAATTGGAAAGGAGAAAGTGAAACTGTCATTATTTGCAGATGACATGATGTTATACAAAGAAAACCCTAAAGACTCCATCAAATATCTACTAGACTTAATAAATTAATTTGGTAAAGTAGCAGGATTAACGTCAAGAAATCAACAGCATTCTTATACATCAATGATGAACTCAGAGAAGGAAACACTGATAAAACAATCCCATTTACCATTGTGGCAAAAAACTTAAGATACCTAAGAATAAACTTAACCAAAGAAGTAAAGGACCTATTTTTCAGAAAACTACAGGACATTGAAAAAAGAAATAGAGGAATATATAAAAAAGTGGAAGCACATACTTTGTTCATGGATTGGAAGAATTAACATCATTATAATGTCCATATTACCCAAAGCAATCTATACATTCAATGCAATCGCCATCAAAATACCAACAACATATTTTACAGAACTAGAACAAATACTTCAAAAGTTCATATGGAACCAAAAAAGACCCCGAATAGCCACAGCAATCTAGAAAAAGAAGAACAAAGTAGGTGGGATCACAATACCAGATATCAGGTTATACTACAAAGCTACTGTAATCAAAACAGCCTGGTACTGGCACAGAAACAGGCTTGTAGACCAGTGGAACAGAACAGAGAACCCAGAAATGGACCCAAGGCAATATGCTCAATTAATATTTGACAAAGGTGGCAAGAGCATACAATGGAGTAAAGACAGTCTCTTTAATAAATGTTGTTGGGAAAATTGGACAGCTACATGGCAAAAAAATGAAACTAGACCACCAACTTACACCATACACAAGAATAAATTCAAAATGGATAAAAGACTTAAATGTGACTCATGAATCCATAAAAATTCTAGAAGAAAATGTAGGCAACAAAATTTCGGATACCATACACAGCAGAATTTTCACTGATACATCACCTAAGGCAACAGAAACAAAGGAAAAAATAAACACATAGGACTACATCAAACTCAAAAGCTTCTGCACAGCAAAAGAAACAACCATCAAAATGGAAAGGGAACCCACTATATGGGAGAGCATAACTGCCAACGTTACATCAGATAAGGAGTTATTTTCCAAAATATATAGAGTACTCATACAACACAACAAAAGGACGAAAAAGAACCAGATTTAAAAATGAGCAGAGAACCTAAATAGACATCTCTCCAAACAGGACATACAGATAGCCAAGAGACATATGAAGAAATGCTCAACATTATTAATCATTTGAGAGATGTAAATTAAAACAACAATGGGGTATCACCTCACACCTGTAAGAATGGCCGCTGCCATCGACAAAGCCTCAAACAACAAGTGTTGGCGAGGGTGTGGAGAAAAGGGGACTCTAGTACACTACTGGTGGGAATGCAGACTGGTACAGCCACTATGGAAAACACTATGGTGTTACCTCAAAAATTAAAAATTGAACTTCCATTTGACCCAGTGATCCCACTTCTAGGAATATACCCTAAGAAGCCTGAAACATCAATTAGAAAGAATATATGTACCCCCATGTTCATAGCAGCATTATTTACAATAGCTAAGATCTGGAAACAGCCCAAGTGCCCATCAGTAGACGAATGGATAAAAAAGTTGTGGTACATACACACAATGGAGTACTATGCAGCTGTAAGAAAGAAAGATCTCTTATCCTTTGAGATGACATGGAGGGACCTGGAGAATATTATCATCGCTCCGCACCGCAGCTCAGCCCGCCACCACCACCGCCTTTGAGCAGAAGATGGCTGTGCCTCCCATGTATATTGACCTAGGCAAATCTGCCAGGGACGTCTTCACCAAGGGCTACGGGTTTGGCTTAATAAAACTTGATTTGAAAACAAAATCTGAGAATGGACTGGAATTTACAAGCTCAGGTTCAGCCAACACTGAGACCACCAAAGTGACGGGCAGTCTGGAAACCAAGTACAGGTGGACTGAATACGGTCTGACGTTTACGGAGAAATGGAACACGGACAATACACTAGGCACGGAGATCACTGTGGAAGATCAGCTTGCACGTGGATTGAAGCTGACCTTTAATTCATCCTTCTCACCAAATACTGGGGGAAAAAATGCTAAAATCAAGACAGGGTATAAGCGGGAGCACATCAACCTGGGCTGCGACGTGGATTTCGACATAGCCGGGCCTTCGATCCGGGGCGCCCTGGTGCTGGGTTTTGAGGGCTGGCTGGCTGGCTACCAGATGAATTTTGAGACAGAGAAGTCTCGAGTGACCCAGAGCAACTTTTCGGTTGGCTACAAGACTGATGAATTCCAGCTTCACACTAATGTAAACGACGGGACAGAGTTTGGTGGCTCCATTTATCAGAAGGTGAATAAAAAGTTGGAGACTGCCGTTAATCTAGCCTGGACAGCAGGAAACAGTAACACTCGCTTCGGAATGGCAGCCAAGTATCAGATCGACCCTGATGCGTGCTTCTCGGCTAAAGTGAACAACTCCAGCCTGATAGGGTTAGGATACACTCAGACACTAAAGCCAGGTATCAAACTGACACTGTCACCTCTGTTGGATGGCACGAATGTCAATGCTGGTGGCCACAAGCTTGGTCTAGGACTGGAATTTCAAGCATAAATGAAGACTGTACAGTTGTTTAATTTTAAACTATTTTGCAGCATAGCTACCTTCAGAATTTAGTGTACCTTTTAATGTTGTATGTCTGGGATGCAAGTATTGCTAAATATCACATTAGACCTCCAGGTTAAAGATGATTCAGCTTTAAAGTGTTACCCTTTCAGAGGTACAAAAGAAACCCAATTCCAGAACAGGTCCTTTCAGCTGTAGACTTTGGGGAACTTGGCAGCCCCTCTAGAGATGTTAGGTTTCTTTTTTATCTAGAAATGGCTGCAAGTGGAAGCTGATGACTTGTAAGCACTTTGTAAATTTGTATTGCTTAAATGTATGAAATTGTGACTTCCTGAGAACTGAACTTTGATTTCCTACCCTAACTGAGAGAGGCTCACTGTTTGATGGTGTTTACAAACTCATCTAACAGGACTTTTTTTAGACATCTTCACAACCTATTTTCACCCTCTTTTGCACCAAAAGTAGTCTGCAGGGTGTGGTAGTTGTTTCTTTTGTGCCATTTTGGGGTGGAGAAGGTGGATGTGATGAAGCCAATAATTCAGGACTTAATTCCCTCTCATGTTGTGGTTTTTTGCCCTTGCATCAGAGTATGAAATAGCTTCTAAGAACTCCAGCTGCAAGCTGGGAAGAGTCTGTGACTGTAATCACATGGTGACAACGCTCGGAACCTAAATTAGACTTCTGTTGTATTTTCGCCACTCGGTTTATTTTTTAGCAGTTTAATGGGTACATTTTAGAGTCTTCCATTGTGTGGAATTAGATCATCCCTTTCAAATGCTGTAATTAACATCACTTAAAATAAAACGTGAATAAAAAAAAAAAAAAAAAAAAAAAGAATATTATCATAAGCGAAACAAGGCAAGCAGAGAAAGACAAATATCACATGATCTCACTTATTTGTGGAATATAATGAACATAACAGTCTTAGGGATAGGGTAGACCCAGAAACATGGAAGTAGGGTACAGACTGACAACCCTCAGAAGAGGGGGTCGGGAGGGGAACAGATAAACCACAGAACTTATATGCATGTATGCATAACCGATGGAGACGGACGACAAAGCTGGGGAAGAGGTGGGGGGATGGGGAGGAGGGTGTCAATAAGGAAAAAAAGGAGAAACATGTGTAACAAAAATAAATTAATAAAAAAAAAAAAAACAGTGTTCAGACATCACTGCAAATAAATACCTCAAACACATGAAGTTATCATAAATGTAACATGATTCAATTCCAAGAAACGGAACTCTTTTATTCTTACTACTTATAATTTGTCCTTAATTTTGGAGGAGAGAGGACGCTTTTTCTTCTTCTTCTTTAAATATCAACTTGACCATTTACACAACCTCACCCAGCAAATTGGAAAGAACACAGACCTGGTTTGCTAAGTTGGTTTAACAAGTTCTCTTTCCTGATATCCACAGTGACTAATTACCTCAAGCAAGACAATACATAACATCCTTTTCTCACATTTGCAAAGAATACTATCGCTATCCCTCTTCCCACTGCATGAGGCCAACAGCACTGGCTTCCTTGCCACCCAAATGGGGCATGTTATTTACACTGTTAAAGCCCTTACCTTTAACAAGGGAGCCCAGACTCAGCTATGCCTGGTCTTCCAGGCAGAGGCTCTATGTCTAGTTATTTTCAAAGAATAAATTTTCATTTTTTTGCTAATGTGGGGGGAGAGAAAATTACCTGGTGTGTGGAATGGTGGAGGAGATGTGAGGATCCAATCTCTCTTAAACAAGCTGACCAGCAATGATCCTTACTTTAGCTTTCTCACTCCAGAAGTATCTGGTGTCACCATTTCCTGAGTCTTTAGGGGATTTAATGATAAATACAGGGTTGGTTTTTAGTTTTTTCCACCATTAGCTTAGAAGTCAGTTTTCTTGAATCTGCTAATTAATTTACCTAATTCCTCCATCTGCTTTCCTGCTTTCCAAATTTCATTGCTGTTGTTTCCTTACCTATTTTCATTTAAGGGTTTATGGTTAAAAATAAACAAACAAACACAGCAAAACTACTATCATTTTAGCAAGATTTCAGAGAAAAAAGCTAAAATAGATACAGGTGTTCAATCTGATATCATTACTGAAAGCCACTTCTTTTTCTAGTGTTATTTGTTCCTATTGTTATTTCTCTTACTACTGACATATCCTTCATGTCCCAGCATCAAGGACCACCCTAGACACAGATGATGAGTCCTCTCTTTGTTCTGCCAGTGAAACTTATTTTAGTAGTTACTAGCCTTTACTGCAATTGTTTTATTATTACTGTATCTTTCTTTGCCATGAGTCTGTGAGAAAGACCACTAATTGGCTCTCAGTATCTATTCTCATTGTTTTCCTTGAATAACACAACTCCATAAGTTCTAGATGGCACATGGCAACACACTAGAGACTATATTCTCCATCTCTCCCTCTCTCACTTTTAAACTCATCTTTATTGTTGAATGTATTGCATATGTTTCTCTCCTTTTTCCCCATTGACCCCCTCCTCCCCAATTCCACCCCCCTCCTGCCTTCCCCACACTATTGTCAGTGTCCATTGGTGATACATATATGCATAGAAGTTCTTTTGTTTGTCTCATCCCACCCTCCCTTCCCCCATTCCCTTTGAGATTCATCAGTCTAACAAACAATTTGTACTTCTTAATTCCTTCATCTTTTTCACCCATCCTCCATCCCCCACCCATCTGGCAAGCAACAAAGATAGATATGTATTAATTACCATTTTATTGTTCATATTTTTGTTCTTGTTTGCCTTCAAGAAGACCCTTCAACATTTCATACAATACAGGTTTGATGGTGATGAATTCCTTCAGCTTTTTCTTACCTGGGAAACTCTTGATATGTCCATCGATTCTAACTGATAGCTTTGTAGGATGGAGTAATCTTGGTTGTAAGTCATTGCTTTTCACCACCTTGAATATCTCTTGCCACTTTTCTGGCCTGCAAAGTTTCTTTTGAGAAATCAGCTGACAGTCTTATGGGAGCTCCTTTGTAGGTAATTAACTGCTTTTCTCTCGCTGCTTTTAAGATTCTTTCTTTGTATTAAACCTTTGGTATTTTGATGGTGTTGACCTCTTTGGGTTCACCTTGTTTGGGCCTCTCTGTATTCTCTGTTTCTCTTGCTGTAGTTTTGGTCATGTAACTAAGTTTGAATCAATGGGACATGAGAAGTTATGTGTGCCCACTTGCCCTAGGCTTCTTCTTTCTCCTTCCTACTTGCAAGGAATTGGCAATGACTAGAGAACCCTGAAAGCAGATGTGGAGGCAGAGCCACCCTGATAGCCCAGAACTGCTCATTCTGAACTATTATATAGGACAGAGAAACAATGTTCTATATTATTTAAGGTACCATATTTGGGCAGTCTGTTTATTACAACATAGTCTGGACTCTACCCAGTATAGAGACAGCATGAACCTGGAATGTGAGAGTATATATTATTTATTTTTATATCTAGTGCCTGACAAACAGTTAAGCTGAATAAATGCATGGATTTCCACAAGTAAATAAATTTCCTGGTTGATTTTAGTTTCTCCAGAAAAAATAGGGCAGTGTTTAAGGACTAGAATGCTACTTTACTTCAAAGTAGCCATAGCCATTATTTACATGTAGGTTTGCTTGATTTTCAAATTAAGAGTACAAAACATAAATTAAACCAGTTTTAAACATTAACTTCATATGAATATTTTGAAGGGGCAGAGGGAAAAACAGAGACATGGGGAACCAGAGGGATAAATAACGAGATAAGCTGCAAAGAAATGAGAGTTAAAAAGGAGAATACTGAGATCCAAATGGCGGCAGAGTGAACGGAAGCTACACAGATCCTCTCCCAGAACCAAACTGGTATTACAACTATAACACAGACAAATCAATGGAAAAAAGCACAGAAAAGCAGCTTCCGAGGACCATATAACCAGGGACACTGACTTGATCCTGGTAGGATTGCGAAGGTGCGAGACGGGGGCTGGAAGCCCACGGTCGGCAGCTTGGCAGCGGCCTTAGCTGTGAACAGCGCCCTCGGGTTAAAGTCCCAAGCAGTTCCACAGTGCAGAGCCGGGACAGAGGCTAAACTAGCTACAGCCACTGACCTTGGGCTCCAGCAGAGGGAGGGCAGACTGAACTGGAACTGTGTGGGCACTCAGAGTTTTTGCTGAGTTGCTGCCACGCAGGACGGTGGCCATATTGCTCCTTCCCAGGGCTCTGGGGAGAGGCAGGAGCCCCTCCCTTGGCGATACAACCCCAACCTGTGGGCCATTGCAATGCTAATTTAGGCTCATTAACAACCAGCATCTGCCCCACCCTCGGGAAATCCCCTTATGCTAAGCACCTGAGGGAGTTTTTCAATCAACTGACAACCTAAAACTCTTCAAGTAACCTTGACTGCTAGCCTCCAGGCAAAAAGGTAGAGGATAACAGTACCTTTCCTGGGCTAGCAACTTTAACCAGGAAAGTAAGACTTGTCAGTGATGTTTACGTGGGTCCTCCCTCACTCATCTAAACCCAGGAGAGGGAGCCCCAAACAGCAGAACACCAACACCACAGGGAAAACTTGACAGGCTCCAAAGCCCACTGTGATAGCCAAAATGGTGAAACACACAAACAGAAGCCAAATGAAAGAACAAGAGATTTCCACTGAAGATGAGATCAACGTGGAGTAGTTAGGCAAGTTAACAGAAGTAGAATTCACAGCCATGATCTTGAGGAAGCTCAACAGAATGAGTAAGGACATAGAGATGCTGAAAATAAACCAATTGGAAATTAAAAACCATCAAGAAGAGATAAAAAATGACATATCTGAAATGAAAAACATATTGGAAGGTCTAAAAAGCAGAGTAGAGGAAGTTGAGGACCAGATCAGTGAATTAGAACACAGGGTAGAAAAAAATTAACCAATCAGAACACCTAAAGGAAAAAACAATTAAAAAACAGAAAGACAGCTTAAGAGAACTGTGGGACAACTGGAAATGTAATAATATTTGCA